CACAAATGGGAGGACACACTCATGTTGGTTCTGTACTGTGTATAAGCTGAACAGAGACATTCGGCTGGGGCCCATCAGACTGCAGGCTAGCGAGAAAAAGTTCTGCAAGGCCTCACAGAGGTTAGGGCAGATGTCAGCCCAGGAAGGTATAGCAATGTGCACAATGAGAAGCCTCGGAGGTTGATGACTAATTTTCATGGCAGGGGAGGTCCGTCTACTAGTAGTTCTCCTTCGATGCATGGCAGCAAAAGCAGTGTGGAATCGTGGCCACCACTGGAATAATCAATGTTTTATAAACCTAAGGAAAGGAAAAAGAAATGACTGGCTTTCATAAAACTGGTACTTGAAGCAAAGAATACACATTGAGGGGATAAAAATACCAAAAAAAGGATTTAATTTGGATACCACATCAAATTTGGCAAGGATTTCAGGCTGGCTCTATAAGAGAGAACCAACACCTACTACTGTAATAGCACCCAAGAAGTCTGTATGTTTGATTTTAATATAAGTATGAGGATGCTTAGAGATGCTTGTGGAACTAATAAAGAGTAAAGCAGTTACACAATAGTCAAACTTCAGGTTTGTTTGTCTTTTACAGGGTCTCATGTTACCTAGGCTGGCCTAGAGTTCATTATGTAGCTGAGCATGATCTTGAACTCCTGATCCTTCTGCTTCCACCTCCCAAGTGCAGGAATTACACATGAACATCACTGTCCCTCAACTCAAGCTTTGGGTAAGGTTATTTGCCCTCTTAAGTTTCGTTACTGCTTATTGTCCCTTGTTTCTATGTTTGTCTTCCTCACCATATTATAAGGCTTCCCACAGTGTCAGGTATGGGATAACTCCATAGGAGTTGCTGGTCAGGGAGGCTCCCAAAATAATAAAGGTTCTTGATACTTTTTCTTGGTTCCCCATAAGTAGTTGGCTCCCCAACTACTTACAAGTAGTTGATAAGAGCCTATTGCTGAGGGTACCACACACCTAGAATAAAAGCTATAGAGGAATCACATTGGAACTGAGCTAGAAGTTTCCTTCCTGATGGCTACTTCCCACAGTGCTGGATGTTGCTATGAAGGCTGCTGGGGGCTGGAGGCATCAACAGTTTTACCCAGCTGTGAACCCTAGGAACTACGATGCTAACCTGCCTGGCAAGATGAGCCCATTTGTGCAATGTTGGCATAACTGTTAAGGTGGCAGGAGTAACCAACCACCTTCCCAATTGGATTTCAGTTTGGCTCTATAAGAGGGAACCTGTAAACCTGTAAACCTGTTCCAAAACACATGACTGTAGAGTTCACGGGCCCTAGTTGGGGAACCTAACATTGCTGCTTAGATAAATTGACACACTATTAAACCACCTTCTAAATATCTATGTTTACACCCATAGACAAAGGCTACTCTCAGCTTTAAATAAAGAAGCCAGTCCTGGCAGTGAACAGAGGTGAATATGAAAACCTTGCACAAAATACCAAGAATAAAGGGTGTATGGTTAAGGGCTCAGCTTTAAATAAGATATCTACATGATCCCTCTAAGTCTCAGGGGACACTCTGGAAGAGGAGGCAGAAAGCTTTAAGAGATCGAAGATATGGAGAAGGCCTGAAATTTGCAGCATGGCCAGAACAATCATGAAAGCAGCTGTACCTAATGGCCCTCCTGATAGTCAGCTATGGAAGGGAGAGGGTCCTACCGCTTATTACAGTCGCTTTGCAGCTAATAGAATCTGGGAGGACGGGAGGCATAGATAGTATCCAGTTATACATGAACTGCTAAGCTCCAGATCACACAGATGACCCCCTAGTAGAACTCAGTGGGACAATAAAAAAAAAAAAAAAAAACTGGTAAATATGTGGAAAAGATTTGTAAAGAAAAAGGGGGCGGGCAGGGGTGGGAGGAAATGAGAGAAGGTGATAGTGTGGAGAGTAACCAGAATAGATTGTGTGTGTGTGTGTGTGTGTGTGTGTGTGTGTGTGTGTGTGTGTAGTAAAAAACCAAATTTTGTTAATAAAAAAAAGGAGAAAAGTAAAATTATTTTTATATAAACTTAGAGGTAAAAACTCCCAAACAAGACAAGAACATTAAAACTAGGAACATATAAAAAAGAATAACACATCATAGGATGGAGGGACGGCTCAGCAATTAAGAGCACTTTCAGCTTATCCAGAGGACCCAGGTTCAATTCCCAGCACCCATATGTCAGCTCACAACTGTATATAACGCCAGTCCCAGGAGCTCTGACATGTTCTTTTGGCCTCTGCAAGTGTCAGACCTTCAAATGGGTGCATAGACATACATTCTAGCATAAAACTCATATGCATAAAATAAAAATAACATGGGTTTATCTCACAAACATGTTATTTAGGCATGGTGGTTTACACATATATCTCTACCCTCTGAACCACTTCCTTAACTCTTGGTTAAATGCACTCTTGGGCCTGGAAATCCAAATCAATGCCTAATATAGTTACCAAAAAAGCAATACTAACTAGCGTTTACTTTTTTTTTTTTTTTGGTTTTTCGAGACAGGGTTTCTCTGTGTAGCCCTGGCTGTCCTGGAACTCACTCTGTAGACCAGGCTGGCCTTGAACTCAGAAATCCAGCTGCCTCTGCCTCCCAAGTGCTGGGATTAAAGGCGTGCGCCACCACCACCCGGCCGCGTTTACTCTTTTAACTGTACTTTTTAAATTAGTGCATGGCTTAGAAGCAGGAGGATTATTACATGTTCAAGGCCAGCCAAAGCTACAGAGTGAGACTCTGTTTCAAAAACAAACAAAATAAATAAAAATGAACAAATAAACTAATGTACAAGGCCAATTTTTAAATAGAATGTTTGGGGTGGAGAGATGGCTCAGCAGTTAAGAGCACTGACTGCTCTTCCAGAGATCCTGAAATTCCTAGCAACCACATGGTGGCTCATAACCATCTCTAACAGGACCTGGCGCCCTCTTCTGTGTTTCCGAAGACAACAATATATAAATTACAACTATAACTATAACTATATATTCTAAATGTTTTGTTTGAAGGTAACATATATTGATACAGAAAAAAGGGATACCCAGAAGACTTATTCTTACCACTCCTATAAGCCTATTTTCCTTTATATATAAAAATATCATGTTATTCTATCTATCTGCCTGCCTATCTATCTTCCTTCCTTCCTTCCTTCCTTCCTTCCTTCCTTCCTTCCTTCCTT